AAAAACGGTTAGACACATGAACAGGTTGGTGGTGTACCTGGGGCTTCTGTTTAGGACTATGCTTCCTCCTCACCGTCACCCAGCCGCCCTCTTTCCCCAACTGCTCGGGACAATCTGCTGTGGAGAGCTAATGGGGACAACTCTACCTTCGTCTGGACTGCCTACGGGGATGTAGCTAGCTGCAGGTTTTCAAGAGTGCGAAGCCAAGCTGCAAATGGGCTACATTTATCACAAGTACCATTATTGATAAAGGAGGCTGAGGAGTAACTAAACATCTGACGCAATGAGCAGGAAATGGACAGATGAAGTGGCGGGTGAATTAATCGAGAATGTCCTTTGGATGAAACACATGCAGAAGGTGAGAAGCCCAGACTTCCCTCTCCTCGGCCATCTCCTCCAGCCTTTCCGGGGGAACACCAAGGTGTTCCCAGGCCTCCTCACCCTATCTCTAAGCAGAGGCCAGCCACACTTCAGGGAAGCTATCCCCGGCAGAAGGAACTGTTCCCTCGATCTTCTGCTCATGGGGTCCTTTGAATTGCTCTTTGTCTGGTTCCTCACCCAGGACCAATTTGCCATGGGAGACCCTAGCAGGGGGCAAAACCCCCTGACAGGGGCCCTTGAATCCTTCCAGAGGTGTGTCGCTGGGATCCCTGGGACACACAAACCCTTCCACCACGATAAGGTAGTGATTCACGGAGGGGGAAACAACATTATGAAACAGGACATTATGTACAAGTTTTTAATTAAATTGCTTACGCAGATAAGCTACACAAGAACACCATTGTGTGTGTAACAGGAACAGGTTTCAGACAAACAGAGAATAATTATGTTATTGTCTCCACACTTCAACAGATAACTCACACACGTGAGAAGCAGCTGGGCTTGACGTTTCAGTTGTTGTGTTATTCTCAACAACACACCACCTCTGTCTTACTTCAGGTTCAGATTAGTGGATGACTCTGCTTTCAGCTGTGTACTCGCCTACTTCTGCCTGGACTCCAGAGGTTACTGCAGAGTACTGGGTTATTAAAGGTTACTTAAACTGGCTTCAGTAAAGCTCTCATAGCCTCACACTGGTAAATGTTGTGACATTATCATTTACATGAAGGAAAAATATTCATTAAGTTTCAGTCTCCAGACTTAATCAGGCAAAATTCATACAAATGGCAAACACACAAGCCAGCACTCTTTCTGGTATCAGTATAAATGCAATACAAGTATTATATTTACAGTCTTTAACATATTGAGGGGAAAAGCCCCTGAGGGATGTCTGCACTAGACACTATGTTAAAGTGTGACACAAGAAGAATCAGACAGCTAATCCCTGTTAGCTCAGTTGTGCACTATGTGCTCATTATACCACGCATGATTATTGACCTTATTATGGGAAAATCCACAAACCTCATCTTTAGCACCAAAACATATGAGAAGATAAAAAGACGACAGCAGTGAGGTCAGGAAAGCCTCACGATGTAGTTTTGTATTTCACATACAAACACTTATCAGTGTGTTGATGCCATGAAACAGTTGTGGTCCCTGAGCAACATGACAGTGAAAGGAATTTCACCTCATGGCACTATGATCACTAATGCTTAATGTTAGTCTTCATCACAGCACAAATACACAGTAAAGTGGTGTGTGGCTGACTTCAAACTCAACACTTTATAACATCCCATTATCTCCATTGTTTCCTCCTTTCATTGTGTGATGCTTTTTAACTGTTTTGTATTTAACAACTGCAAAATCTGATTTTCACCCATATACATAAATATTTACTGATATATGGTTTATGTCAACATCTTGTGTCTGTGGGAAAGCTGTTAAATAACCCTGTTTATATCATTTATTAGAAGAAAAAGTCTTTCTTTTTTATTTGTATTGACTTTAACTAGAAGGTACATCAAAACAAACACACACAGATGAGTGCAATATTATTGATTTATTATCTGTTTGCACAGCAGGTCAGTTAACAAAGACACATGTGGACTGTCCCTCAGTTCAATGAAAAACCTTCAGAATTTAAAGGGAATGTAATCTGTTCCAATTTACTCCCATGTTTGGAGGTAAATGCATTTAAATACAGCATGGACATAAATACTGATTCATCCTCTTTCCCCGAGCACTTAGACTGTGGCTCACAGTGTGTTTTATTCACAATATAAAACAGCCAAGAGTGCTGTTTACAAACCAAACATAGTTTTTGAATGAGCAATCACAGACACCTTCATTGTGCGAATGAGCATTCCTTCACATCCTGAATATATCCTAAGTTATGAACTACGGAGCTTATAATTCATGTCACGTAAAAGTATTTGCAGCTGCTTCTAAATTTGATATTTAGAAGCAGCTGCAAACTGATCTTTCTGAGTTAACTAACCAAAGTATCAATGGGTCTTTACACCACATCCCTACATTCTAGGTCTACCGATGTTCACTGCACCAATTAAAATTATCATTATTAAACCGCATGGCTTGTAATAATGATACTAAAAAGGTAGATGCATGCTAGCATAAAGGTCAGCGCTGGCTGACAGCATGAGAGTGCCAGCGAGAGCAAATTCCAAGGCTGATGGACAGTAAATGAGTCTGATTGCAGCAATTTGTTCACTGATAAAAAGGCTGCCCGCAGCAACTTCAACTCACAATGTTCATTTGTTTTGGTTTTTTTGTTTTGTCTTTCCAAAAGCCTCTAATTTTTAAAATGATAACCTAACTTTCATTTTTATATTAACAAAAAAATGATATATATGTCATAACAATGGTTACCTGGAAGGAGTTTACGTTTATCTGAGAAGAAAAGAAAGAATGAATCTGAGCAGTGTGCACAAGGTTTCTGAACTGTCTTATTGACAGACACTGAGGTCCTGTGTATGATGTTAATGCTCCCTAAGACCATGTATATAATCACAAGTCAGTGTCATGGCATAGTGAATTTCTTTTATAACTGACTGCTTGGATTTTAGAAAAGCTCAGAAATTTGCTTTGGCAAACAGTTAACAGGATCAAATGCATACCTGGATCAAACATGAACCGCCCATGGTCAGTACTAGAAATGTATTTGTCTCTCAAATATGTCTCCAGTCTGTCCACTGGAACTATTTATCATTTTTAACAAACTATAAACTAGATTCTCTGAAGCCTTTTCGTAAGGGCTCCACCCATGTGTGCAACATATGTTCTTCAGAAGCAACGCAAAGCAGAAAAAACATTCATATGTAGTTATGGATCTTCATTAAAACTGTATAATATATACACTATTTACAATATGAGCTTTAATCTCTCTGTCTAAACACAACAGAACCTATTGACTGGATTTTAGTTTGTACCTGAAGTCTATATCATACGTAGGCTGAAGGATACCCAGGCCAGCACGGGACTGGTCAAGAGGCGGGGCTTTGATACCAGGGTCTAAAAGTTCCATGTCAAAGTAAGACAGAACAAGAGTCAAGAACTGTTTGATCTCATACACAGCGAAAAATCTGCCCGGGCATTTAGTGACCCCAGAGCCGAAGGGCATGTAGAAGTAACGCAGCCGCCGCCCACTGCGGTAGAAAGTGGTTTTCTCCTGACCCTTGTTGTCCAGAAAACGGTCAAACTTATACTCCTGCAGAGTGAAGAGGAGAAAGAAATGAAGAACAATAAAAAATGCAGTAATTTCTTGGTGAAGAGACTTTTCTTATTTACAACCCATCCGGCTCTTACATAGGGATCCTCATAGATTTCAGGATCATAGTGCAGCAAAGGCGGATACAAGGCTATGACATCATCTTTCCTTATGTGGTAAGCTTCTTGGTTATCAAGGTGAAGGAGGAAGTCTTCCTTGGCAACACGCACATTCATAGAAGCACTGGAAAGACGCATGGCTTCTTTAATGATGCTGTCTGTAGACATCAAGGAGACAGACATAAAGCGAATATGTTCATGCTAAAATTCTGAACGCTACTCTTTTAATTTAGCAATATTAGGTATGTCACTTTTTCTTCTAGTGATCTAATAACTGGGTAAAATAAGTAATCTCACCCAAAACAGGCATGTTGTCCAGCTGGTCCCTGGTGAGGTTCAGTGAGGGGTCGCTGGGGTCAACTGTCTTACCAGAGTCTCCCAGGATTTTCTGCACTTCCTTGTGAGCGGCTTTCATAGCATCTGGACTCCTGCGCAGAGGTACAACCTCTTACTGTGTGTATTTCTTTCACTATTCTGTGCTTAGTGAAAGACGTAGGACAGTTTTTCCAATTTCATTGTACTACTGTACTATGTATGACTGTGCAATGACAATAAAGAGTTATCTTATCTTATGTTATCTTATGTCCTATATTATTTTTATTGTAATAACAATTAGTTTTCTTCAGCAGAAGTTATTGGTATTAGGCTGCGTACTGCATTTTAAATTAATACATTTGTTGTGTTTGAGAAAGGAGTTTATGGGAAAAAAAAATATTTGAAAAGCTGCTCAATTTTTAATATTTAGTCATGTGGGATGTATCACATCACATATTGTCCAGCACAAGTAGATTTCCAATCTAATCGAGTCTTTGGCCCAAAACAAACAAAAATATGTAGCCTGTGCAAAGGCATGGCCCATGATAGTACATGTGAGTGTAGAGGGTAAAAATTCATGTTCATGTTAGCGATCAATGTAACACTACAACGTACATCAGCATTACTTTTTATAATAAGTATTTCCTTAGATAGCCGGAAACAACTTACCTCCATGCAGTGCTGGACAATTAGTTTTTTATTGCATGTAATGTGACATATGACATAACTTAACCATAGGTACCCTACTTAGGATCTGTAAAAAAAAAAGAGCTGTGCTCTCAGATATAAACTGCACAGTGATTGGTCAACAAGACTTTGTGATAAGGTATCAAGAATACTGCGAAGTCTTGATGCATGCTCAGTCATCAATGTAAGGAAAGCTAATTCTGTTAAAGCTAAATCTGGTGGGAAACATTTCATCTCGCCATTCAAAAGTCTTCAGTCTCAGCTGACTGCAGGTTTCCCCATTGACTAACAATGTCAAAGGTCAATTTCATGATAAGAACTTAGTGATTCAATGTCAATAACACTTATCAATTCAGTTCCTTATCGATTCTCTTATCATCCTTATTGGGTTTTCATTGGCTCCCCTTTGAGAGTGACCACCGTTGCTAAGAAGCATATCAAGAACATTGCATTTGTACAAATTAATTACATGCTGTGTGGTCAAATGTTCGAGTGTTGAAAAAATAAATAAAAGTAATAAAAAAGTAATAAATGTAATAATTACACATCTTACACTGAATGCTTTTCTTAAAAGTAATGCAGTATTTAACTTAATTACTCACAGGAGAAAGTACTTTCATGTTACTCTGTCTCATAATTACCATTTAACAATGTGAACCTGTTGGTCCTACAAACCAAGTTAAATCCCCATCCTAATTTCAGTTCAATTAAATTTTATTTGTACTGCGTTAAATCACAACAATAAGGTGCTTTATATTGTAAGGTCGACCCTACAATAATACATCCAGAGAAAAAACCAACAGTCATGACCCTCTCTGAGCAAGCACTTTGGCGACAGTGGGAAGGAAAAACTCCTTTTAACAGGAAGAAACTTCCGGCAGAACCAGGCTCAGGGAGGGGCGGGGCCATCTGCTGCGACCGGTTGGGATGAGAATCAGGACAGACTGTGCTGCTATTTTCCTCCTCTGACACATGAATTGAAATCAGCTAATTGTAGCGTGATTGCAAGAACCAATAAGCAGGATCTACGGGCAGGTAGAACAGTTCCAAGGAACTGGACAACTGGGAACTGGTTCTCTACAAGAACCATCCATAATCTATACTGTGCAGATAGTCATGGTGAGCACTATTAACAGAGAGCTGAGGAGTGGCTACAATCAGAGCGTTGCAGGATGGGGAATGATGTACCAGTAGGCCCCCTCCTCATTTTCTTTTCACATGAATGACCTCCTTGACTGACGCTCAGACCAGCGTACATTCTCATTATTGAAGCAGTGACATAGGGGAACCACTGATACACATCAGGGCTTTTTTGATATGATGTTTTTCTGCTTCCCTGGCTGCTGTGTCTGTAGAGATGGTGTCCCCCTGTGTTATAGTGTAATTATGATACTGATTTGTATGCACTGGTTTTTCGTACACATAACCTTTTGAATGCTATTACTGATTGAAATTTCACAGCAAAACAATGTCCAGATGAACAGCATCAACTTTCTGGTAATGTCCTGCTACTGTACCATTTATTGCTGTATTTTTCTGATTATTTTTGTTATCGTGTGATGCTTTGCTTAGGCTGCTGCCCCCGCGACCCGGCCTCGGATAAAGCGGATGAAGATGGATGGCTGGATCGTGTGATGTTCGTACACAGAGTAAAACTCACGAGACTGATTAGACACACAATTTGATTTACTATTCCTTATGGCTTTTCATGAGACAGCCCATTACCAGTTTACCTGATCATATAAAAGAGACTCCAGAAGGTAGCAGGCAAGGTGTTAGCCTGTGAGGCCCAGAGCAGAGCAACATGGGTCCTGGCTTTGCTGATGTCATTGAAGGTAGATAAGGAGTCATTCAAGATCATCCTCATGGAGATTAAATCGGACACATTCTCTCTCTTGGACAGGTGTTCAGCATGCATGGTCTTAGCTAGGTTCTACATAAGAGTGTATACAAAAGAACATTCAAACATATTAGAGGATGAAAATGTTACAAATGGCTCAGAGGCCTTTGACTCTGACAGCCTACTAACCTCTCGGGCACTGTAGGCACTTTTGAACACGTGAATAGGCAGCCCGGCCACAAGTGCCGGGAAGATTTTGTCAAATTCTTTGAAGTTTTCCAAAGCATTGAGCACCAAAGCTTTCTGGGCTGCCTGCCGAGCCTGACACTTGTCTTCACCAAGCTCTTTACCAAACAGAGTTAGGTAACCAGATTCAAACATCACCTGAAGAACAGCAGAGCACAAACTTATAAATGACTTTTTCAAGGGTTTTTTACTCACATATGTGGCATGAATTGTGTCCCACCCTGAGTAGAGAATATAGGTGTAGAACCTTTGTAGTTACTACATCATGACTATTCAAGAGAAATGTATCTTCCAGTGGCCAATGCTTTCACTCTAAATTCAAGTTACTGACCTTATAGCAAAAGGCAAATATGCCGTCCACCTGCCAGTGGTCCTTGCTTGGGCTGAGTGTATCTGATTTCAGCATGACATCCTGAAGGTGCCCCATCATTGTCTCAATAAGGGAGGGAAGAGCCTCCCCCTGTAGTGTTTTCAGAAACGTCTGATGGAGGTTCTCTGTGGTGTGGCCATGGCGAGGATCAAAGCTGTCATGACCAAACGCCTTGTAAAGAAAGAAGAGCTTCAGGACTATTGAAAGATCGACCAATACAATGAGAAAGTGGATCAAGAAAAGTGTCCTAACAGACTATATGATGTAGTCATATAATATTTCTTTTATAACAAAAGATCAAATCACGTCATGAAATTACCTTGACAGATGTAGCAAAATGGAACTTCCTCCAATCAAGGTGTCTTCCCTGCCTGATGACTGAATGGTAAGAGAAGGGGTCGCACAGGAAGTGGATGTACCTGCCTGCAATTTTGCAGGTGAAAATGTGGCCGTACTTCTTCTGGCGGCTGCGGAGGAATTGAAGTGGGTTGGCCCCGAACTGGAGAGCACAACCTAAGTAGGGGATCAAACCATTTTCAACTGCTGGCTCACCTGGTTGCCTGAGGACAATGACAAGAAAGAGATCACAGAGATAACTCACTTTGTTGGATCTCAGTTGTCTGGATCGAATTCTGTAACGTCCGGATGAAAACCCTTTCATTTGTCTGGCATGTGCGTCAATGATTTCTTCAAGACTTCGGCTGCACTGACATCTTTAGACTGATTTTGGCAGCAGCACATATTGTGCATTTCATATAGTTCAGCTAATTTAGTAATAAATTAATATCTCAGTATTATTAAGAAGTCATTATTTTACAAATACAGGTAAGTTTAAACTGAAATGTTCAAATAAAACAATGAATCAGAGAGAGCAAAATGTTGGCTGCATCTCAACAACAACTCCAAAACTTTGCAAACCTACAAATCAGGACTGATTGTTGACATAGTTACATAGCAGTCACCTCTGTGTTACTCATGTATTTGAAAATAATAATCATTCTTCTTGTGCATTTCTATTAAAAAGGTTTCTTCTTTTTATGTGCTGTAAGCTGAAAATTAATCAAAATCCTAACATTCCTGTCAGTGTTTGATTCAATATATGCAGAAGTTAAGTAATATACTCAAGCCCAAATAAAGATTCATGTCTTTCCTTACATCCTACATGCTCTTTCTTAAGTCTTACCTGCGTCTTATCCCCACAGCAAGCCAGAGGAGGCAGCAAAATCCCACAACAACTGCCCAAATCAGAGCAATGCTTATAATCATGCTGATGATGGTAGAAAGATCCACACAGCCGAGCCCACCCGTCCCTGCAGAATATGTGAGCAGCTTCTGTGCTATTGAGAGTGACAGTTGTGTGAGAACAGCAGCGTGCAGCAGGTTTTTTTATACTTCCTTTGAGCCTCTGGGTGGGTCTGATGATGTCGTCACCAGATGCATCTCAACAAGGAACCAGTTAGGCGTTTTCATTGTGCAAGATAAATAAATAAGCAATGAAGTTATTAAGTTAATTTTATAAAGAAGAAGCAAATTTATTTTCTTGGATGTGTGTGGATTTTTGTTTACATGTATTTACTTTGTGCTGTCCGAAATCTGTGGCTAAAAACAGCTCTCATCTTAAGTTAAAAGTCTTTTATGATGCATTTGTTTTTAAATTTACAGAAATTTTGCAAGAATATTACAATAAGAATATTTACATTTTACATGAAAACTTCAAACAGCAATTTCTTAGAAATGTGCTGAATAAGTAACATGTTTATATTTTCTGAGAAATAGGATTCCAGGTATACTTTGTGTGTGTGTGTGTGTGTGTGTGTGTGGTGTGTGTGTGTGTGTGTGTGTGTTCGTTTTGTGTCTGTGTGTGTGTGTGTGTGTGTGTGAGTGTGTAAGAGTTGGCCTTGACCGGAGTCCATGGACAGTGTTGCCTGACTGCATCCTGATAATGCATCTGGATTGATAAATAGATTCAAGGTCACTTCTGTGTCTGTTTGTGTGCATAATGAAAATTTCTTTTGACGTTGCATGACATGTGCTTTCTGTTGAGACTTGCAGTTGAGCAAGAAGTGATAAAATCTGGTTCATCAAGAAAGACAACTAAAAGAATAACAAATAAAACTGAAGTACATGCATTGTCGCACAGTGTGCCACCAAACATGTAAGAGTGATGAATCAGTAATCTATTTGGAAATACTAACAAGTCTCAACAAAGATTTGCTAGAAAAAAATAAAAAACATAGTAAAGCAACATACCTGAAACTGCAGCCTGATGAGTTAGTAACAACCATGCCTTAATGTACAAGCCCCCAAAACTATTATTGTTCAACTCAGGTACCAAAAAGTTGGAATGACATGCAAAATAAAAACAAAAATCAGGGATTTCCAAATTTCATAAATCCATATTTAATTCATGATATAACACATGTTTATATAGAAATGTTAAGAACTAACTTTGTAGTTGTGCACATTCATTCCAGTCTGATCCCTCCCAGATTCAGTAAGCTTAAGTGATCAAAGTACCTTCATCTCATAATACACCTGTGGGTGCAAAAAGGTTGAAAAGCACAAAGCCAGATGATCTGTTAGCTATGATCTCTCTTTCAATAAAGTGTTTGTCTCAGTTCAAGGTCTTCAGCGCATGTTAATAACGGTTTTTATTTGTTTTTCTTTTCTTTTTATAAAATTTTCATCACAAGATTTTACCCCCACTTATCATTTTTACCAAAAGAGATCAAAAGAATGGAAAAGAAGAAAGTACTAAGTTTAAAGGCCAAAACACTGGTGCACAGCAAACGCCCAGAGAAAACTTCCTTGAGTTTCTTAAGAGTCGTCTGGGCAGCCTGGAAACCCTAGCAAAGCTGGGCAGTTGCAGAATGGCAAATAACTATGCAAAAGGAGTAGCATAACAGTGATTCTGAAAGCTGTGTCAGTGACTGGCATAAGGTCCAGCTGCAAACTGCATCGTTGACAAGACAGCGCAGATAAGGGTCGCAGGATACACTATAGTGATAAAAACAACCTGACAGAGACGCTCAGTCACAGCCAGACTTAAGTACACAGCCTTTGATGAACAGATCGCTTGCACATATGTGGCAGCAAGCTCATAGACTCGGCTCCACCTAGGGGCGGAAAAAAGGTGGATCCACTCTTCACACCACCTACAACTGAAGAGAGAAAAACAAAGACAGGTGTGTTCCAGAAGCACCGCCTGTCTTCTTTCCTTGACCTTGATGACATTAAAGTTAAGGAAAAGAAGTCAGGGGAACTGATAAGGACTTGGGAAAAGAGAAGAGCCCTTCTACAATTGGAACTGCTGTACACTCATCTCTGTTTAACAATGTGAAGACTGAACAGACTGTGAAAAGCAAAGGCTGGCATTTTAAATAAGGAAGTTTTAATGCATGTCTGCAGCAGCCAAAAACCTTCCAGTGAAATTAAAAAGCTTTTGAATTTACAAAAGAAGCTGAGTGTCAGTTTTGTGACTGTAATTTGTGAATACACTGCAAAAGTTCAAACTCTTGCCAAGTATATTTGTCTAATTTCTAATCAATAATATCTCATCACACTTAAAATGAGACACAATCAGCTACAGAGTAACATTTCAGTGAGATTAAGGAAAGTGGGTCTGGAGAATTTTCCCTTGTTCCATTGGCAGATTTTTTCCACTTAATAGAAGATATAGTTGCTTCAAATAGTGAAAAAAATCTGCTAATGGAACAAGGGAAAATTCTCCAGACCGCGTGGAAAGTGGCAGCAGCACGGCCGGTGATGATGTGGTGTGGTGGATGAATGTGGACGTGCAGGCCGAGCAGCACACAGACGTATCTGAAGGCTCTTGGGAGGCTTGGCTGGTGACAAGAGCACAAGGCCAGATCAGGCAGGACCAGGCGAGGCAGGATCAGACGGTGGCGTGGCGGCCGCAGGCGGTTGATCCGGTGATTGAGCTGTAGGTGGAGCTGACAGCTGGACAGACTCTCCAGAGCTGCGAGCGGAAACAGACGGCGGCGTGGAAGCCAAGGAGTGTTGGACCGCTTCGCTGGAGCCCCCAGCAGAAACAGACAATGGCGTGGGAGGCGTGGAGTGCTGGAGCGGCTCCCACTCAGGTGGCTGAGCAAATCACTGAGCAGATGATTGAGCTGGTAACTGAGCTAATGACTCAGCTAGTGACAGAAGTAGTGGTTGAAGTGGTGGTTGAGCTGATTCTCCAGAACCTCCAGAACAGGAGACAGGAACAGGTGCTGCTGCCGGATACTAGCTGCTCACACACAAAGAGTAGGTATGGGTGCAGAGGTAGACTGTGTCCTGGTTGGCCTCACCCTGGGAACCCGCAACGGTTATGGGGGCAGACCGGACACCAGTCATTCCCACCTGATGAGTAGGTACGGGTCCAGGAGTGAGCTGGTTCCCAGCCGCCCGCATCCTGCGAGTCAGGACGAGCACTGGCAATGTCTAGTCTGCTGTCCCCACCTGAGGAGCAGGCTGCCTCAGCCAGACAGAGGAGCAGGCTCAGAAAAAACAGACTTAGCAACAGTGGCGTGTCTAGAAAATTTTTGTTGGGGGGGCCAGGTAGGGGCACAGATTTGGAGAAGGGTGGCAGATGTAATTGGCAGATAATGTTTAAAAAAAATTCTACCAACCATTAACCATAATTCAATAACCCTGTAAACCTAATAACCACATGCCATCCATCCATCTCATCGCTTTATCCGAGGCCGGGTCGCGGGGGAGCAGCCTAAGCAAAGAGGCCCAGACCTCCCTCTCCCCAGCCACCTCCTCCAGCTTGTCCGGGGGAATACCAAGGCGTTCCCAGGCCAGCCGAGAGATATAATCTCTCCAGCGTGTCCTGGGTCTGCCCCGGGGCCTCCTCCCGGTGGGACATGCCTGGAACACCTCCCCAGGAGGCGCCCAGGGGGCATCCTTGCAGATGCCCGAACCACCTCAGCTGGCTCCTTTCGATGTGGAGCAGCAGCTGCTCTACTCTGAGCCCCTCCCGGATGGCCGAACTTCTCACCCTATCTCTAAGGGAGAGGCCAGCCACCCTTCGGAGGAAGCTCATTTCCTGCCGCTTGTATCCGCGATCTCGTTCTTTCGGTCACTACCCACAGCCTGGATAACCACTACGGTGCAAAGTTTTTAGATACTGCGTTGATAAAGTACAAGAGATACAATCAGTGCTTAGTGTTTATTCAGCATTCAAGGACAGCAATATTTGCATAGTATTTTTACTGACATTAGTGCACATATGTTTTGGGCAAAAACATTTTTGAATATTAAAATACGAACATTTGTAACAAACAATTGACAAATTAGCCAATGTAAAACTTTATCTGCCTGTTAAAAAAAGAAGATAATCTTCTCACAAACTGGTGTTTGATTTTGAAACAGGAAAAAAGTGGGGAAACAACTGAAAAGACTAACATTTGAATAAAACCTGAAAGCAAGTAAATACTTTCTATGCTGCCTTATGGTAAACTTTGGTAATATTGATAAAGAACAACACTGGCTGATGATGAAATACAGTCAGCTGGCATGGTGACACTGCCAGTATTAACCTGCAGGGCTGGACTGGGACAGAAAATCGGGCATTTTGACTAGAGACCGGCCCCCCAGGTTTAAAGCCATAAAGACTTTGAATGAAAACAGACGCTGCTGTGACAGTGATGTGCAGTCTTGTTGGTATATGTATGATTTCTATACATTTTACGTCAGACAAAAACTTTGGTTGTAAGATTTAGATAATTATTTAATAAAAGATAGACATTTTAAATGAGAAAAGAAAGAAAAGTATTTCTTTGTGCCCCCCTCCGTTAATGCCCTACCTGGCCCCCTGGCAACACTTTGCTAGACCCGCCCCTGCACAGTTACCAGCTGTCAGCTACATAAAAAGGATCCTGGTGTTATTTGTCTCTCAGAAACAGTTCATAACTTCCCTTAACTCATTCCATGTCACCTAAAAGGTAAACCTGTTTCTCCATCACCTGTTCAGCTCTGATGATTCAGTAAGGACATCTCCTGGTTTCATCTTCATGTTTCCCTCTCACCACATAACCAAACCGATATCATGACCAGCAGCTTTACAGCTGTGGCTCCAGCAAACATCAGCTGATACTAGAAATTAATATTAAATAAATTCTAACAACAGCTGATCAAGCTTAAACATGCTGCTGTTGTTTAGCGCGACATCCGCTGGTTTCCTCTTTCTGGCGCAAAGTGGGCGATAAACAAACAAGAGAGAGCCGATCAGCTGATCATTGATCAGTTTCATGATTGAAGTAGCAACAGGAGAGGGAGGGAGAGAATGAAAGAAGAAGAGGCAGCTGTGCCAGGCGTTCTCACTCCCGAGGCGTAACATGTCGACGTTTTGTCACGTCCCGCGGCGTTCCTGAGGAA